TGTACTACGTAAAAGAAAAAAAAAATGGGGTATTCGTAGTATCTGATCCTATACGAAGTACTAACAATAAAACTGTGATACAGTTCCTTCTTATTAAATGATGAAAAATATATTATCATAATAGGTATTTATGATTATTGAATTTTAATGAAAAACTCAGAATTTTACTGTTTTTCATTTTTTTAACGATATTACTTAATGTTACAAAAAAGGTTTACTTAATATAATGACAAATAACCCATTCTTCGCTAGTAAGTACATACTTATTGGAATCCCTGTATTTATTAATCAGCTCGCGATAATATTGGTTTGTAATAATTCTGCAAAATTCAAAGTAAATAATGTAGATTTTTATAGGTAAATCACCCCTTTCATCACCATACGCCTATAAGTATTGCGATGTTGTAGCTAAGAACCAAGTTCCCATCTACTTCTATATGGGAATTCATTATATTCGATTTAGCTATTAGGGCACGGAAGCGCAACAAACAAATTCACTTTCGCATCTATAATATTATATTATACTTACTAGTGATCCACCCGGGCATTGAACGGGTGAAATTTATTTATCGGGATAAAATATAGCCTATGTCCCTCGGACAAAATGTATTTAAATAAAGAAAAATGTTATTATAAATAACGTAGCTACCTTATGATGAGTTAATATTTGAAACCGGTTCAGTAGTTTGACAGATTATTTGTTACAATCATACAAATCTTGCTTCTTTATAATATTAGTATAGATAGTTAGGATAAGGTAAGTATTTAATTGATGAAAAAGATTTAAAAATAAAGTAAGTAATAGGTTTATTTGATTATATTTGTAGAAGTTACTTAGCATTTGTGCTTAACAGTGATACGTTATTCGGTATTTTTTTATACAAAAAAGAATTGGAAAATAATTGCCATGATTGCACTACTGGGAGTACTCTTCATTCGAGCTTTACACTACCAATAAAAAAGGGTCAAACATAAAGTCTTTGACCTGTTAAATGTGAACGCTTTAAAAGAAAACTACAAAGAGAACTATAAATTGATAATAAATGAGATTGCTATGGTGCTCTACCTAATTTTATGAAAATTTTATTATGCGCCTTTAGTTTAATCAAATATTATAAACTTTGCTTTGGTGATTGCATAATTATTTAATTTAGTGATCTAAGGCAATTGCCACCATTGTCCAAAACAACAGACAGGAATTACTGCTTTCTTCAACCTGCGACATAAACGTCATTGATTGGTATTGTATATAGGGTGATTAAAAACATTTGAAGTTAACTTCTGGCATCTACATATTGGGTTTCTGTGAATTATGTAGGTTAATCAAATTATGAGGCTAGGGACTGACACTGAATTTGTGTATATCACAATCTTAGACGTCCGGCATTGACATGACAATGCAGCCACTGCCAATTTTAAATAGTCGACGAATAAAAGTAAATGAATTTTATATTTACTGCTAAACTATTAAAAAAAAACATAAACAAAAGATGACTTTTTGAGGAAGTGCTAGTTTACTATAAAATTTACATACATAAGAGATATTTATATAACGACTTGATTTAACTTCACACATTTTTGCGAAAATTGAGGCCCATCTGTAGCCTTGACCCCGCTGGTAAAGTCTTTATATGTCTTAATAAATCAATCTTTTAGACCGACGCCAGGTACTTAATAATTTACGATATTAATTCCCATACTGAAGTACAAGACTACGGTATATACCGTCTTAAAAAACTAACTAACTAAAAAGTGTGAAATAAAAAAGGTAAATTTAAAAAATCAAAAAACCCGACTGCTTAATTATGCTTCAAATAAAAACTGAAAAGAAAAAAACAAGTCCAGTAGTATATAATTCTGTTAATAAGGAACAAAGCTACTTTAACAGTCGGGACCCACTGTTGAAAAATATTATGTATTCTTGAATATCTAATGGGTCCCGACTGTTAAAGTAGCTTTGTTCCTTATTAACAGAATGATAGACTACTGGACTTGTTTTTTTCTTTTCAGTTTTTATTTGAAGCATAATTAAGCAGTCGGGTTTTTTGATTTTTTAAATTTACCTTTTTTTTAGTTATAGCATAATAGTTTAGAAAACCCTCTACCAAACAAGGGCGAGATGTGTGCAATGCGCGCGCGCTATTGTATATGTGTGTGTGTGTGTGTGTATGTGTGTGTGTTTGTGAGTATATATGTATACATGTGTGTTTCATTTTTGTTTGTATATTACCAATCAACCAACAGATCTAAAAGTTGTTTTTTAAAAGATGCTTTACTTCTGCAAGCAAATATGTCAACAGCCGTGAAACCCTTATTGTATGTACTTTGCGTTCGAAAAACAACCGAGTTTTGTGCATAGTTTGTGCGACATGTAGGAATTGCGAAAAAGAAAGATGATGTATGTCTGGTACGGGTAGTGGGTGTGTAGAGTGTTAAAAATGAAGAGGCAAGCTCAGTGCAGTCTATATTTCCATTGCAAACGTCGTAGAGAAATGCCATATCGAGCATAGTGCGCCTGTCCAAACGATGGAAACGACATCCTTCCCTATAGTCCGGACAGTCATTTCTTTTTCTGTAATTTAGATGCTTAACAAATTTTGACTGTATCGATTCTAAGTCATGTTTATAAGTAATGTATTGTGGATTCCAAATATTGCAGCAATATTCAAGAATACCACGACAGTATGCAAAGTACAAAATCTTTAAACAAAGAGTATCAGTAAAAGGCTTGCCAATCCTCAAAATAAACCCTAAATTCTTATAAGCTTTGTTGACTATTGTTGCTACGTGGGTAGAAAAAGTTAATTTATCATCAAAGAGTATACCGAGATCTTTCACCAGATACGTTCGTGTAATAGATGTGCTATTCAAACAATAATCAAACGCAATAGGAACTTTTTTGCGCGTAAAAGTAATTATCAAACATTTGATCACATTGATTTTTATTTTATTTTGTTCGTAATAAGTTGATAATCTGTCTAAGTCCTCCTGAAGTTTTAGGCAGTCCAACGTAGATTTTATTGACATATAAATCTTCGTATCATCTGCATACATTAGATACTTGGCATATCGAAAACACTGACCTATGTCGTAGAGGTAAGCGACATACAGAAGAGGACCGATTATCGATCCCTGCGGCACACCGGATGGTATAGTAACATAATCAGATCTGAGTTCACCCATAACTACCGCTTGACGTCGATTGCGCAGGTAGGACTCAAACCACCTTAGCAGGTCTCCACGTATCCCAATTTCGTGAAGCTTACGAAGAAGGATTAAATGATCGACGCGGTCGAACGCCTTCTCAAAATCTGTATAGATCGTATCGACCTGGTTTCCCCCATCAACGCTCTCGAGGACATCTTGCGAAAACACTGCGAGATTGCTATTAGTCGACCTGCCCTTTATAAACCCATGTTGCTGTTCAGGGATAATACGATTAATGAAGGGATAAACATGATGGTGGACAACCTTTTCAAACAGCTTGCTGAGAACATTAAGAATTGATATTGGCCGATAATTCTCAACCAACGTCTTAAGTCCCTTCTTGTGTATGGGTACAATGTGGGCAGTTTTCCAGATATCGGGGAAAAAACCTTCACGCAAACATCTATTGAAGATAAATGTTATGGGCGCAACTAATGATTCCGCACATCGGACAAAAAATATTGGCGGAATCATGTCACTGCCAGGACCCTTAGAGAAATCTAAACCCTGAAGAAGTTTTAGTATCATATTCGGATCCACATCAAAAGTGTAAAGGTGATCATTTTGAGCTTCAGAGAGAGGTGGTACTGTATGGCTCGACGTGCTAGTTGTGCCAAAGTTTCTGTAGAAAAAGTCATTAAAGGCTGCACAGATTTGCTGCTCATTAGACAGATTATTACTATTATAAACCATTGATCTTGGGTAGCAGGAGTTATTTTTCCTGCGGGACTTAACGTATGACCAGAATGTTTTAGGCACACGTTTAATTTTTTCTTGTCAGTCCAAAATGTACGACTCATAACACCTAGCTTTGAGTGCTTTCTCTCTAGCCCTAAGCACAGAAAATGAAACATAATCAATTTGGTTCCGAAATCGTTTCCAATATTTGTGAATTTTGGATTTTTCTTTAATAACTTTAATTAAAGCGGGGCTGTACCACAAGGGATATTGATGTCTACCACCAACATTTACTTGTGCCACATGCTTATTTATTAACTTAAACATGATATCATAAAAGTTTCTAATCATGTCATCCGCAGGCGCTTGATGCAAAACAAAGGACCAATCGAAAGATGAAAAGTCATCGTTAAGAGCAGAGTAATTCGCTTTACGGTACTGATACTTTTTACGTGTAGGTATTTTAAGGGGTAAAAATAATGAGAGAGGAATCGCCTATTTTGGCTGAGTGCGTCCATCCTTGGTAGCATATCACATTGTGTTCACCACAACATCATTAAATGACTAATCACCGATTAATTAACAAAAATTATAAAAATATATATGTAATCTATGACCTTAATACATATAATAATTTAATGTCATTAGTTGGTGTCTTTATAATTGAGTAAAAGCAGCATTCTAATATTTTTGATAGCATCTTAACACCTGAAACCCCTTCCTGTTACAGTCGCGTAGCCGGTGAAACAAGTGTTCAGCGGACAGGTTGAGGTATAGGTAATGGCCGTAGCAAACACCGTAGGCGTCCTCGCGTAGCACGGCGCGTGTCGCAGCCCGCGCCGCAACCGGTTGCTCGCACTCAGTCCGTAGGCAGCTAGCGATGCGTGCGCGCACCCGCCTTACCGCGACCCGAGAGCATACGCTATGACAATACGCGCGAACCCTACACCCTCGATCACACAAGGACAATACGGAAAATAATTTCCTTCTATTTGCAAAAGAATAAAACTGTTATGATCTCAACAAAAGACTGAACATGTGTTTCTGGTGTATTGAGGATATGTTTGTTGTATTTGGATGACGGTGCGCAGGAGTGTCGTCGGTCGGTGGTCACAATGAGCGCGTCGCTGAATTGGCACAAATGGCTAGTGTTGTCGCTGCTCGGATTGGCTTTGTCCGCCCGGCCAATTGGCTGCGATTACAGTTCCATCACCGAGAAATTTGGAGCGGAAGCCGTTGCTCGTTGCAATGAAAAATGCCCATTCCAGGTCCGTTTCATTGACTCTTATTGATTATCTCAATTTTCTACCTTGATCTTCGCTCACTTTTAATTAGAAGTAATATCTTATTATGCCCCATTGAAATTCTTCCTGTTTTTTCGCGAGCAATTTATCCAAACCCACCTAATGTTAAGTTTAAGAGAGGTCCGGTTGTGTAGAAGGTTGATGAAGCAGTAGAAGTAGTAAAAGTGTTTCAACCATCTTCTGCTAGCCAGTCTACAATCCCTAAGCTTTTAGGGCTACGGAGTTTGTTGAGGAACCAACTCCGTAGCCTCACACAAACTTAACTTACTCACCGATAGATATACAATACCATCAAAAGGTAGTAGGTATTGTGTGCTCTTTTGTAAGGTATTTACTTCCTGACATGCGCTCAAATTTGAGCCAGAAACCCGCTATGCTCTTTCCTCATTAAGTAGCTGAAGATATAATATAATAGAAAGTAAGAAGGAAGTCAGAGCCTAAAAGGATTCTGGTTCAAATTTAAGTGCATGTCTGGGAAATCCAAATGTTAGAGTTAAAAATGTACAGAGAATTTCTCGTGTTGAAACTTACCGTAGTCATAAACTGCCATCTATTTTAAGTGAATAGGATTTAAAACTGTTTCGTAATTTCAATATTAATAAGAGAATATCTACTTATTTGATATGCATTTTTCTACTTGCATAGTCAAACAACCTACCTGTCCCACTAGTCCCATTGACCCAGTCCCTTGATGAGAGAGGTGGGATGATTATGTCCCACTAGTCCCACGGGACAACTGATTATTGCACCTTTATAATCTTGCGTCATTCAATTACAATAGCAACAATAATATGTTTTAAAGCAACATTTTTCTTTTATAAAATTGATTTTTTTACTAAATTATTGACGTTTCGTACGAAATAAGATTTTTTTTCTATGTAGGCACTAAGTGGTTACAAATTCTAAACGATTCTGTGGGTGAACAAGATGAAAATATTTCAATAAATTATTGTTATTGTTGCAAAAACATACCATTTCTACTGCTCGAAAGATATAATACCTACCTATGTCATTAATTTCATAGAAAAGATCTGTTCAACCTACGCGCTGACGCCTGACGAAAACTATATAGAGAGCTTACCTAATACCAATTGATGTTCAATCTTAATGGCGATCTGTGACATTTGAAATACTAATCGTAAAGTTAAATGAAGTATAATATAGGTATAAAATCGAAAATATTAGCAAATTAGAAAAAATATTGACAACGAGGCAAGTGAAGGAAGTGAATATCACTCATTTATTTTTCGAATGATTATATCATCAGTTCGTAAAAAGCTTCAAAGCTCAATCTCAAGATAATCCTATCCTACTAATATTTATTATAAATGCGAAAGTTTCACATTTAAATTACCTAATTGATTTTAATGAAATTTACAATAATATTCAATACCAATGCTAATATATCAAGATAACATAAAGGCAATTATTTATAAAACTATAAATAAAGAGTGACATGAATTTAATGTACGGTGGAAATATTTCTCTTAAATAGTTTTACAAACAGTCCGTGACAGCATGTCACCGTGTATCTATCTATCAGGTGTAAGTCATTATCGTTAAAATAATTAATTCAAAATACAATAAAACTGGATATTTGAAAAACTTTGAAGAACAAATATTTGTATTAAAGCCACCATTGAATCACCGAATCCAATGCAATAGTGCGAACTTATCGAAATTCCTTTGCATGGTCATAAAGACGCTGACAATCACAGGGCTATTGTTATTTCCTTAACAGAATTTAGAAATTACGACGACGACCTCCTTGGCCGAGTAGTTTGGCCGGGTTTCATGGTATCTCTGGAGAAGTCCTGGGTTCGAATCCCGGTGGGGGTAGATGTTTCTGTGATGAATACGACCATTTGTACTCCTTGATGTTTAATATGTATATCTATATAAATGTATTTATTTAAGTACAGTATATGTATTCTATTCGTTACCCTAGTATACCATAACACAAGCCTAACAGTGCCTAAAGCTTTGGGGCTAGGCTAATTGGTGTGAGATTGGAAAATATTTTATTTTATTTATTTATTTACAGCACTCTCTATTTCCATGCCGTTTACAGCATTTTAAGGATATCCTGTTGTCAAATTTAGTTATGATTTACCCGTAATATGTATGTGAAATACTATATAGTACGAGTACTGTAATTGTGCACCCATAAAATAATAATTATAAATGGACAAAATAGACTCATCAAAAATTTATAAAATTTTTGTATCTTCTTGGGAAAAAAATAAAAAATCTTATCTGCCGAACTAATAAAAGCTGTAGGAACTGAATTTTTTGTAGTATGAAAAGCAACAATACTAAGATAATTTTCAGTTTCAATTTACTTATATTACACACAGAGCAAGGACCTATCAATGTAACTATCCGTTACGCCTTCGCGCCTAAACTTCAGAATAAAATTTGATAAATTTTAGTATAAACATAGACTATAGACTATGTTTATACTAAAATTCAATATTGTTTATACTCTTAGTACAAATCCTGCGCAGACGAAGTCGCGGGCAGAAGCTTCGTAAACAATTTGATTCCACTTGAGAGATCGTCAGAGCAACAAGTTATGAGGCAGAGTAGAATAGTATTACTTATACCAGATTTATAGTCTCACCTTAACTATATTATAGATTATAATTTGTAATAATTGAGTCAGAGATAAAATAAAATTTTGATATACGTATGTACTACATATATACGTAATCAGAAAGAAAGGAATGTCGAAACATTTATGCGAAGATGATCCTTTATGTTAGTGCGTCGGCGCCCGCAGAGGTTCAACGCACATATAAGTAATTGTGAACAATTAGCGGGCCACTGTAATGAACGCTGCTAAATATAGAGCACCCTATATCTTTCATAACTACTAAACTGTGGCCTTGTTCCTTACTCCGCAACTATGTTTACATCGTTAGCACCATATTTGCTTATTGGGTAATGCATCCATAAAGCGCTTTCACCGTTTGACAAACTTGAAGTAATAATAAAAGCTCTAAAGATCATTATTGCCACTGTTTGTTTCGGAAAAATTGAAACTAAGCATTGAAAAAAGCAAATGTAACGTAACCTCCTAATTCAAACTTTCTGACTTTCCCATCTTTATTTGGAACAATTTGCAAAGAGTAACGATTAAATTGTTGAAGCAACAAAAATCTGTATTGAATAAAACGTAACATATTTAAGTCGTGATTGGTAACACACAAGTCCTTTTTCATCAGAATTCCATATACAAAATCCCTCGGTATCTTGTTACAAGCACGAGAAGCCTTGCAAGTCCACCACACCATTGAGGTTCCGGTCACACGCTCGCAAAAAACCAACTGAAATGGGATCTCTCTATTTAAATAGACTGTTTCATTTTAAATAACACACTTGAAAAACTGGAAATAATCACATAATAGCCTGTTTAATCTTCGAGTTAACTAGAAAAACTAGTCTTTTTTGTTTTGGATCTAGAGTGCTTGTCTAGTGTTTTTGAATCTTTTAGAAATTTCACTTAAAAATTCCGTCTGTTAATTTATAAATATAACTTAAGCTTAGGATAACAGACATTCAGCATAGGTAACTATGATGGTAGATATATTTTCTAAAAAGATGTCAACGATGGTATTGATTCGGTTCGATCGGAAATTCTAAACGAAACATATTTACTATTCACACATCAAACGTGTCAAAAGATCAATCAGAAGTAGGTATTCAATTGACGGTTAACTGGAATTAATTTCTCAAAAGAAAAAGATACAAAAAAGGTAGGGGTACGTTGTTAAAGTACTTAAACATAATTGTTCAAGTAAAAATCCAACCAAAAGATTTTGATTGATTGGATATTTTTTAATGCAAAAGTTCACCTGATCCCTAGAAACGTTTTTTTTACCTTGAACAACATAAGTGGGGCGTACCTTTGCCCATCATATACTTATATTGTACAGAATGGAAAGGAAATTTGAAGTTATAAAACTTTAAATATATCTTGCATATCAAATGCGTTGATGATGCTAGTCTCGCAAATTTTCATGGTCACTTTTTGTCACCTATTTCGTTAAACAGAAAACATCAAAAAATGGTATCACACATAAAACGAGGCTAAGTTTTTATTTGAAAATGGAAGTGACACAATACATCTCCTTCTTTATGTTATAGTTCTCGATTCCACAGCACTGCCCGTTGGCAAACATTATCCCCGATATTAATAAACGAGGAATAAGTTTATACTAGTTACTCTGTGTTTTGTTCCTATCACTCAAATGCCATTTGTCATTCAATGAGCAAAGACAAAACATGCAGTAACTAATCCAAGCTTATTCTTTGTTTATTAATAAAGGGGTAGATGTCATGACTCAGGAAGGAGTAAAAAGTTAACTAGCAACTAGTCTAGATTACTTATTCTTTCTTTAGTACAAACAGATATCCTTCTCATTCTACGATTCATATTATAAATGTGAGAGTTTGTATGTTTGTTAATCAATCATGTAAAAACGGCTGAACAGTTGGATGAAATTTTGCACACATATAGTCACAAACCCGGTGACACTGTAAAGGTCATCTGCGACCAATAGCATACACACTCTAAAAAAAGACATATAGTTTATTACTTGGTAAGAGACTAGGATACTTTGAATTCCAGAAAAATAACAGTTGATGTGGGATTCCAAAAAACTAACAATATCGTGGACTAAGTCGCGGGAGGATGCGAATATTTTATATTTTAGTCTTTCTTTTAGTGGAGCACCAAATTCACAAGGTCAAATTACCCCAAAACCTGTACCTGCAGCATATCTCGACGTGAGATACAAATTTTAATTCGGCCAAAAAATAATCGTTGCCACCAACAAACGCATAATCTGTGACGATGGCAGGCAGAGCTCATCAATCGCAGGTAGAGTCCTATAATCGTACGGTTGGCTGCGCACACGCCGCACCGGATGTCAGAATTGTAGCTCCGGTGGAGACATCCTCTGCCTGACCGTTACAAAAACAGGCCCTAGTTTTTGAGGGGATTTGAGCTTGTTATTGAAGTTTTTGTCCTTGCATGGCTGGACAGTATTTCCGATCAAGTAATTTATTTTTCTAGAGCTTCTATATTAACTAACTAAAAATGTTTGTTTCAGAATCGAACGGGTGACGGTCATTTTGACGTGAATTGTGCATCCGAGTGCAGTGTGGAACAGGTAAGTGCATTTTAATTTAAATGAAGACTTAGACAAAATAAACATACCTACATTTTTTTAACATTTTATCTGCTAGCACATGTTACAAAATAAAAAGAAATTCTTTGCAAACCTTTTTAAAAACATTTTAAAAGTTTGGTTGATTCAAAACAACTGTTTAAGAAGTCATATTTTCATTTCATTTCAATAAACTCTATCCAACGAGAGATTTTCATTACGGGGGCTAATGAAAATTGAAAGAAAAAGTATAAATTTTCACGTTCCGTGATCATCTTAGTCTTGTTTTTAACAATCACTAGTTCAATTTATCAATTCGGAATGGTATTTGTAACGTAATTTAATAATATACTGCAAAGAAATCGGGTCACTTGCTACCTCGGAACTCTAATTTTTTTTTTACAACTATTACAACTATTAAAGTTATACCTACAGAAATCGCGTTTAATGAATATTAAAATGAACAGGGATTTATTGAGATTTAATCTTAATCTTTTTTATTAACTTTTTATTAAGATTAGAAATAAGGAGTTATGTTAATCGGTAGTAAACATGTCGTAAATACACGTCTGAGAAAACTATGGACAAAAACTAAAGAAATGATAAGAAGTATCAGACTATCTTCATTTTATAAAAAAGAACGTAAATCACAAATTTGTACAAAAATTTACGAAACCATAGCATTGTGTTTCTTGTTTCATTGCACAGTAAGTTGATAATACTTTAGAATACAATTTTATTAATTTGAATCATCATGAAACGCACTTTCTGCATGTATATTTTTGATAGTTGTAAGTTTTATACTTTTTGAGAAAATGGAATCAGAGTTCCAATATAGGTACTAGCGAGTAACCCGTTTTCTTTGCGGTTGAGTGTATATTAACGACAAGCAAGCAATGTAATATAAAGTGCGAAAACCATACGTAACTTGTAAATATTTTATTATAAATTTATATTTCTACTTTCATATTAGAAATAATTAGACGGATGCTAGTTCAGACATAAAATATTTATCAGGATATAATGATAAATAATTGTAAGCTAATTGGTTATGATGTACGTCGTTAATTTTATATTGGCGTCACAACAGTATTTGTGTATCGCGAACGACAAGTCGTAAAAATCACAACTAGAGTGGTGAGATAAGCTCAACATAAGTATAATATTGTAGATTATTTCGCATTTTATTGACTGTTGGGTAACCCCAGCCTAAATTTTATTGTCCAACGGAAATCGGTTTTGCTTCACATTCCAACAATAAAAAAAAATACAACATACTTAAGAATGACTCTGTTTCCTGTCTTAGTATTTTTATGTTAAGCCAATAAAATCATTGGTACTTACTAAGATTTCTCTCAACAGTAGGCTGATGACGAAAAGTATATAAATACAGTGGTCCAACCTAACACACAATATAAATAATAATCAAACCTTTATTACTTATTGTTGATATTATCAGTCGTTTTACGGGACGAAAAAGCACATAGGAAATAGGTATGTAAATCATTAAAAGTCTTGGATAAGATAAAAATTCAAGAGAGCTGAGAGCTTTGTTATTTTCCGTTAATACGTTATATTATGCTAGTAGGTACTTCATAAATGTACACGCGTAATTGATTTATCTGTTTCTTTATGTTAAGACAAAAGAGGCACCATCGGGGGCGACATGGTTACCGCGCAAAATAATTACAGGCAACCTATTTTAAGTTTTATAATTACTGCCATATATCTAAATCACCTCTGAACTTTGACCTGTAACGCGATATAAGGTATTAAATGAATAATGGCACGAATTGATAAAAACATTAAGGTAAAATGTATATTGTAATATTTTTCTTCGATTGCATTGCGAAACTGTGACGACGCACAAGCACGAATAGAGTTTTGTCAGAACTAACGTCAATGCATTAGTTAACAATCAACTTTAAACTTGAGTTTAAGTAAACAAAATATTTCTTTTGATAAAATGGGTCAGCATGAACTTGTTTCTGGGCATTCAAAATAATTGAAGTGTGCGAAACAAACTGGACAAGCTTGCCAATACAACGCGCAGCTCTATTGTTAAGCTAATCAACTTAGCGGTATGAACCAGGCGTAACCGCGTAAAAAAACAACTTATAAGCAAATAAGTCAAGGGCGGTACTGGCAAAAGTTTCGTTACTCTTGTTTATATCATAGTTTTTCTATCCGTAGAGCCTAAGCTCCGCTCCTTTTTGTAATTTTTGAAATGAAAATCCAATCATCAATCTTTAACGCTAAACTAAAATTGACTTAGCTTTATTAACTCTCATGTCCCTAAAAGTTGTAGGTATGCAAAATCCTTAACCTATTTTCAACAAATCACATAATTGTCTGCGTACAAATCCCAGCTAAGTAAGTACCCTAATATAAAAATAACAACCAAACTGCCAAACTCTACGAAATTATTTCTCATGGTGTTATCCATCATTTGAATGATGTTAAAAAGTGACATTAAACATAACGTTCCCGCCAACCCTTGACAGCAACTACTGTTTAACGTCAAAATTATCAGTTTCGTCCAATTTATGTTTGCGGCCGGCGAGCAAAAACTTCAAGTGGGCTATGCCGCCACGCCGCCAAGGGCGAGACTGCTGGGGCGCGCGCACCCTCCGACCGGGTTCAATTGACTTGTTTCCATTTATTCAGATGTGAGTTCAATTGACTTGTTTCCCTTATTATTATTCGTTAACTTCGAAAATGGTCAACTTACCGCTCATAAAAATATTACGAACACATATCAGCTATTTTTGTTTATAATTTAAAAAACATGTTTTGGAAACATCTCTTTATTAATTTAAAGTTTTTAAAAAAGGGCGATTTATTGCTTATTGATAACTCTCTTAAACTACTTGTCTTTCAAACACAAGAAAATGTTTAAAACTATTCATACGGTAAAACATTTCTAAATGGTTTGTGAATTTTTTATAATACCGAAGAGACCTGCGTGAGCACTCCTTAAAATTGTCTTTTGCTGTCGCAGAGATCTTTCTTTTGATACGACAAGAACTTGAGTTAAACTATTTTCCCACAATGTTTTTGCTAGTAGTAGTTCACATAGACTTGGTTTCGTCACTCAGCGTGAAACCTGGTGTAGGTACTTACCTGCAACTGAGCTTCCCTTCCATCGTGCATCTGCATTTTGAACGCATTACCTACCGTTGCAGACACCTCTATTTGTTTACATTCACGCCACATTCTGTTAAAATAACATTAGCACCTAGCATTTCAAAGCCTTGTTTGTATCTTTCACTCTGTTTAACCTTTCATCTACTAAGTTCATTGGAATATTTCCGGCGGATATCGTAGCTCCACATGCTTAATCAAAGTGATCTTAATTGACTAGTGTTGCAGTAACGTAGTTCGAGTGTATTAATAAAAATGTTGATTGTTCTGGAACCAAATTCAAACTTCATTAGCTTGTTCCAACGAACGAATTTTATTAGAAGAAGTCCATAATGTAGACTAGGAACCCACTACTCTAAGTTAAGATTATCTAATTACAATTATCAATGCAAAGGACAGGTCTTTCTCATTTTAAATAAACTGTAATATTTTATTATCCTAGAACTAACATTTGAGGAGCTGGCGAAAACGGTATAATTACGTATCTGGTTTCGGGCCTGTTGAATTTGAATCTCAAATAATTTTCAATCAAAACCGCCCAAAACAGTATTAAAATTACTAAATTTATAAATTAAAAAGCTCACTGGAGGTATGTCATTAAGTTTTATACAGCTCCTGTAAAAATTTTTTTATGTAATTATACCGTTTTGTTCGCCAGCTCCTCACTTTTAAGATGTGTTTTGTTATCGTAATCTATGAGTTTGCCCTCAGTGTCAGAGTTCTCGAGTATAATTCCCGTTTGAATCGTTATCCGTTCAAGTTTGTACTTCGTTAATATTAATTCATTTCCAAGAAATCTTAGGGTCACTTGCACTAACATTCTAAAATCAAATTAAAGCTTAATCCTATACATCTCTATCAATATTGTAAGAAGTCAAAAATATATAGAATGATATAACATGATTAGCTCTTTAATTTGATCTAGAACTTGCTGCAAGTGATCCTAAGACAAGTTTTGCTTTAGTATTGCAACTTTTTTTTCTATCAAGAATCAGATATATCTGCGTCCAATTGTCGTGTTGTATGCGCGCATCCGCTGGTCATCCACCATGCTCCATGGGGCTGCATCGTAGCGAGCGCGCCGGCGGTCGCGTGAGACCGCCAAGCCCGCCACCGGATGTTCGCAGGAAGGAAGCTGCTAGTTGCCAGTCAGCTCCCCTAGAACTATTTTAGAGTTCATTTTACTAAATAGCATAACCAGTATTTGGGGTCGCCGACATCGTGAAAAAGGTACTGGAACGGTCTACTTAATATACTCTTTATTGCATCATATAGATCAATACAAAAAGTCGAAATACATAGTTAGTAAAGGTGGTGGTGGTACTTCCGTGGCATATGTTCTTTTTTATTTTTTAAGCATGTAACTGCTCGGTATTTAAATCTAAAGAAAATATTACTAGATTTTTTTTTGTGTGAGTAAGTTATTTGGATTGTTGTTTATTTGATATCAAATGAAAAACTGAAAACTCCATGTAATTTAAAAAAAAATCTTAATTATTTACTTATATTAACAAATTGTACTTTAGTTTTTTTAACAGGTTCGATTACCTTTGCAACAACGTAGTTGTAGCTAATTTAAAATAAAACCAATGTCAAAATAGCTGTCGTAACGATATCGAAATCACATACAATCACGCATGGATGCCGCTGAACATAAATGTGCAGGAATTTAACCCCATAGGTGCGCTTCGCTGCTCTGCACTCGGAAACGACCAATCACCCACCGGAAGCTAGCAAGTTGTTTTCATAATTATCTATTATTTATATGTAACTTTGGGCTAGTGAATTCCGATCCCGAGCAATTAAAAAAGGGAGAAGAAAAAAGGTTAATAGCTTTGTTACTTATCGGTGTGGAAGTT